TAGTCACGTTGAATTAATGAAAGCAGTTAAATCTTCTGTTTATTCAGCAACCGCTATAGGGATTTCCTGGGTTTCTTCTGCAAGGCGTATTTGGAGTTTCAGCGCGAGAGCGCCCTCTGGCCTTCGGATGGAGATTTACTGCTGATCACAGAACTGTGCATCACTGAAAGATACGCATGACAATCGCAGCTTCTGCCTAATCGCAATTTATCGCCTTTGCGATTTAATTTCGATTAATGGTGCAGCCCATTTATTTAAATCAAAATAAACAGAAATATTGTAAAATATTATTACAATTCAAACTAACTGTGATGGCAGAGCTGAATGTTTTAATTCCTAGCTAAATAAATGTATTAGTTTCTGTTGTGATCCCAAACTTTTGATAAAAAGTAATTAAAAGAGTGATCCTAATTAATTATATAAGACCCCCTACACAAATCCAACTGCTGGTCAGCAAAGTAATCCAAGTAAACAAGTGTTGGCTCAACAAAATGTAGAAAGAACTCACCAGAGAAATGCCAAGACTCCAGACGTCAGCTCTGATGTCATAGTCTGGCTTACTGGGGTCTGGAGGGTCTATTCTCTCAGGCTAGAAAAAGATGCATAATATATATATATGTATGTATGATGCATTATATGGTAAAGGTTGCCAAACAATAAATCCTACATTATGTCCACCTTTTGCTTTAATGACAGCAGGATAAATTAGATTACTTGTTTAGTGACTACAAATAGTGCTAAAATTTAAATATTTCTTTTTAATTTGACCTCATAACATTGTTTTTTTGTTTTGTTTTTTATAGATGTTTTAAAATCCTGAAACTTTATGACGCTGAAAGACTTTAGGACCATATGCTTACCGCCATGTATGCAGCACAGCCGGCGCTGCGAGTTTTGGCCTTAGAATCTACCAGTCGGCCACTAATGCCAAAATCACAGAGTTTGATCTGCCCTTTGGCATCCAACAGGATATTAGATGGCTTCACATCTCGGTGAATGACACCATGTTTCTCTTTTAGATAAAGCAGAGCCTTTACAATCTACATGAGAAGAAAAAAAGCAAGATGAAAAGAGATTCTGAGAGGTTCAACTTGCAAGCAGACCAATATCTAACCAGTAAAAGATGCCATTCTCAATCAGGTGAATTTAAAGGAAGACTTACGGCCACGGTCATCTTTCCCAGAATGGCCTCTGGTATGGGCCCCTGGATCCGCTTCTTCAGCTTCTCTGCACACGTCCCCATTAGTTCCATGGCAATGAACACATCCGTCTACAGAAGAAGACACCATTAAATAATTCAAGTAATTCAATACATTCACCACAAAACAGTGGTACTCAGTTCAAGGGCCAATCTGTAAATTTCTTTGCCAGTAAAGGTCCTAAATTTTTCAAACTTTTTTTTTTAGTACTTTAGGAGTCAATATGGTATATGGCTACAAAATTAAATAAATAATACAGATTTCATAAATATTCATAACATTTCAGTTTGGCAGCTAAATCACTATAATTAATCCTAAATAGTTGCTGATTCAAGACCCATTTTCCCCAAAAATGTAAAACTAAATTTGGAACCATTTTAAAAGGCATCAGACCTTTTCACTTCATCACCATAATTTTTAAGAGTAATAATGCCTAATTAAGATCTAATAATGATTAATAGAACTGAAATTCTAATAAAATAAATCAGATCATTAATGCAACATTAATGCCACAGACCCTGGAAGTGGTAATTGAGCACAGATCGTAAGTGTGTTACTCACATTGGTGACGATTGCTCCATAGCACTGAATGATGTACGGACAGTCATGACTCTTCAACACAACATCTAGATCCATGAGGATTCTCTTATTCTCATCTTTATTACCTGTCCTCCTCATTTGCTGCAGGGAAAAACACACATGAAGGAAACACGCTCAACATAAACACTACTAGAACACAAACCAAGAGCAGTGATGTAATTAGTAAACAGTAATTACCCCAGCCTTAACTGCTGTTTTAATGACTCGGTAATTACAAAAGTTCAAGACAACAAATACATGGATACACAAATGCCTTCATCCAAAAATTTTATTATATATTTTTCGGATAATATTTGAATTTCTTTTGGCTTTAGTACAATGACAAGTGTAAGGGATTGCAAGGAGGGATTCATCATATTTAGGGTTGTTGATCAAAAGTTTTTAAAACCCCTTAAAAAAAAAAGACTAACTCTGCATTACCAGGGACAACAGATTGAGCAGAGAAACCGGGAGCTGAACAGACCTTAACTGCGATGACATGGCCAGTCTTCTTAAAGCGAACTTTAAACACCTGTCCACAGGTTCCACTGCCGATCTCCCCCTCACTGATCAGATCCGTCACCTCTGCAGGGTAACGCTGAAAAAGATACACGCTCAAGAGGTCAGACACTTTTTCCACATTCAATAACTCCAGAACATGACCGATGACTCACCTGTCCGTCAATCTTCAGATATCCAGTTTGTTTCATGATTTCCTGCAGCTTCTGGTCAATTTCAGCACTGAAGATAAAAAAAAATAAACAGATCAACACACCAGACTTTTACATTCTTAAAATGAGAACCGAGCAAACTCCACTATGCTGTGTGTGTGACATACTTCTCCATGCACTTCTGTAGGCTGTAGGTTGGGGTGGGAAGCGTAAGCATTTGTCGGGGTCTGCTAGGGTACGAGGGGTGTTGAGGAGAGCTTTCTGAGGAGGACGAGCGACTTCCTCCATCGTTGGCCAATGGTAACTGTAGGGCTGTAGAGTAAGACAAGAAGGTTGGAAAGAGTCAGACAAAGAACAGAAGACAGGAAGCCAGTGACCGTCAATTCACACTCATTACTGGGACAAATGTTAATGAATGTTCAAGGACCCTAAATTAAGATCCTCAGGTCTGAGGGCCCAGAATATGACAGCTGATCCAGATTCAATCCATCGTTGGCCAATGGTAACTGTAGGGCTGTAGAATAAGACAAGAAGGTTGGAAGGAGTCAGAGAAAGAACAGAAGACAGGAAGCCAGTGACCGTCAATTCACGCTCATTACTGGGACAAATGTTAATGAATGTTCAAGGACCCTAAATTAAGATCCTCAGGTCTGAGGGCCCAGAATATGACAGCTGATCCAGATTCAATCTGAGGTCTATTTTTCCCCTCATAGTACAGTAGGTTACTGAGAATTGGGGTAACATGTATAAAAATAGTGTCACAATGAAACATTATTCTAAATCAAATTCTTAATTTTCTGATAATAATATAAAAAATACAAAAAAGATTTGTTTTATTGCAAAAACAAAAAACCAATTATGCATAAAATAAAAACTAATTAATATTTTTATTGTATTATAAGTATTGCTGTTATAACTATTATTCCATTTAATATAAAAATAAAAACAAACATTTATCTAATAATAATATATCAAAACAATAAAATAGATTTTTATGATAATAATGTGTGCATTATTATTAGTTGTAATATTTTATATAATTTTGTATAATAGCAGATTAGCTTTATTATTATTAATCGTTTGAAATATGACCTAGATTTTTCATGACAATTTTTGTGAAATTCCCTGCATCCTAATAGTGAGCTGTGGAACACATTTTGGGTGAATGTTTAATGACTATCTAGAGGAAACGGAGTCTAAAGAAAGCCCATTTTACCATCCGAGATGACATTTGTGACAATTTAAAATCCTGAGAAAACATCAGTCAAATAAAAGTCCAAGTCATGCCAAGATCAGACACACTCACACACAGAAATGACAAGGGCTGCCAAACAGTGAAAACCAGCCATTGGAGTTAGTGTTAGCATTCCCAGCATGCACCGGGACAAGCAGGAGTCACCAACGGGTGACATTTGACATTCACTCACCAAACCGTGCAAAACTAAACATTTTAGAGATTTCCCATATGTTGTTCGAGCATAGAAACAACACTGCTTTTTCAGGAGAAATGGATAACCGTCGAACTTCTGATTCCTCCTCAGGAAAACCTGTTTATGGGAGAGAATCTGTTAGCTTGGGTTAGTCAGTGAGGTCAAGCAATTTGGTGCAGAAACACCTGCTGGACACGCACATACAGGGGCTAACATGGCCGTAATCCACATCTGTGCAGAAAACAGAGCCGAAGCTGTCTCTTCCAGAAAGAACAGACAGAGAGGTGAGAGACAGGAGAGGCCAGACAAGCTCAAACCCAAGTTACAGTTGAACACAGAACACACTGTCGAGTGCCGCCATAGCTTTGTGTTTGTGTGGATGTGTTCACTCACAGTCGGGCCGTGCAGTTATAGCCACAACATGCATTATGTCTGATCTTCCAACAAATCCTACACATAGGTCTCACATTCACAACACACACACACGCTTGCTGCTCCTTTTTCATGGTGAGGTGGAAAAGAGAATGAGAGAACGAATTGAAGAAATTAAAAAGAGGAAGATGATATTTTAATATAGACCTATAGAAGTGAAGAAGTAAGATTAAGATCAAGAGATTTCAGAATGAAAGCAGGAGAATGGCTGAGTTCCCTAAACAAACACCATGCATTTGATGAAATTAAAGAAATGCTTATGTAAGTGAGATTAATGACAGAAAGCTGCATGAGATTAAAGCCAACATGAAATAAAAACTGACCCTATTTACTTCATTAATCACTTTTCAGAATTTATTGTGGATTTAAGGTTGAATCAATACCAAAAATATGACTAAAATGGCTGACAATATATTCAAGTTAAATAGTTATTCAATAATTAATTCACATTCGATTCTTACCGCTTTTTGTAGTTAACATGCTGAGTTTGGCTATTTATTTGAAAGAAATTAACTATACAGTATTATTCAGAAAGGATGCATTCAATTGATCAAAATGATGGTAAATACATTTATAATGTTACAAAAGGTATATTTATATCATTTTTATAATGTTTTTTTCCCCCACAAAAAATATTAAGCAGCACAAGTTTTCAACATTGAAAATAAAAAATTATAAATGTTTCTTGAGCAGCAAATCAGCATATTAGAATGATTTTGAAATGATGCTGAAAATTTTGCTTTGCAATCACAAGAATAAATTACACTTAAAAATATATTAAAAGTTCTTTAAAAACAGAAAACAATTATTTTAAAACTGTAATAAATTATCACGGCTTTTACTATCTTTTTGATCAGATAAATGCAGCTTTGGTGATTTTACAGACCACAAAGATTTTACAGACCACAAACCTTTATATAATATGCATCTGGATCACAAACGTCAATTTGCAAAATGAAGATATCGCATTTTACTTTAATACCACATTACAACCCCATTTTGAACTATACATGAGTGCACATTAATCCAGAGCATTCATGATCATTCGTCAAAATGTAGCAACTAGGCTCTGCTTCTGAAACAACTTTGCTTTTCATCTGACATACACCTGTCATATAGAGACCGCTTTTCACATCCAATCAATTACTGATAGATAAAATCAAGTCCTGCCCTGCATTTATTATTGCTGAACACTCGGTTTCATTCCACACTGTGAATGTAAAAAGAGAAGTGAGTGTCATTTCATTTTGACTTTTTGATAGAGAGTGTGGGAAAGAGAGAAAAAGAATGAGAGGTGGTAGAATTTTAAAAATGGAGAAGGATGACTGAGAAAGAGAAGAGCAAAATAGAGATGCAGAGGGTGATGTAGTGCATGTAACCTGCAAGGTAAAGAGAGAGAGAGAGAGAGAGAGAGAGAGAGAGCGAGAGAGAGGGTGATGCAGCGTGATGTAGTGATGATGATGGTGGTACCTGCGCGCTGGGAGGGGGCTGGAGCTGGACTGAGCTGGATCACAATGACTAGATACAGAGGAGAGAAAATACACACACACTCATTACTAAAAGCCCACACACACCTCCAGGAATCACTGCGTCCCTCTCTTCAAACGTTATGATTCACCTTCAACACGATCACACTCCACCTAACCTAAATAATACTGACACCATCTGAAAAAAAACTACATACACATCCAGCTAATGACAGAGTATGATATGGGGAAAATCTGTTAATTCAGCCGAATGCATTTAAATATTTTAATATTTGTTATACCTGAGAAAATACTACATTTTTATTAGCTGAAACTATGATCAATTAAAAGGAAATTTCACCCAAAAACAAAAATTCTGTCATCATTTACATGTAAGGGTGTACGATATTAACAAAAAATTATATATATATATATTCTGGGATTTGATGATAACATTTAAACAATATTTTGCTTCTTCCACAAGAGAAAGAAAGCCATACAGTTTTGGAACGACATGAGGGTGTGTAAATTATGCCAGAATTTACATTTTTGGCTGAACTATACCTTTAAATTGATCACTAAACAACAAAACAAATAAATAATAAATAACTCAAAAAAATAAAAGTCGAACTCGCATACACTCAACAAACTCAAACACACAACAATAAGGCTTAAACGAACTCTCAGATAAAATAAAAGCCAATCTTATAAATTCAACAAAAAGGCTTAAAAGGTTAGTTCACCCCGAAATTAAAATTCTGTCACGATTTACTCACCCTGAAGTTTTTTATGTGAATAAAAGCATAAATTAAATATGTTTATCATATAAAACAATTGTGTCTCTTCAGAAGGCTTGGATTAAACTACTCAACTGAGATTGATTTCTTTTTTCATCCCTTTACGAACATTTTGAAGCGTCAGAGTTTTGTGTGACAAGACTTTTAATGGAGTGACAAAAATTTCTCAGATTTTAATTTAAAAAAAAATACAAATCTTCATTTGTGTTCCGAAGACAAACACATTTTTTCTTGGACCAACATTCGGGTGACGGATGACAATTTTCATTTTGGGTCAAAAAAATCCCTTAAAAACTAATTCTCAGATAAAATGAAATAAAATGCAGTCTCACACAATCAACAACTAACTCTCAGATCTTTACTTTTCACTGATATATATATAAATATATATATATATATATATATATACTGACCATTTACCATGTTACCAGTTTGCATATGTTGTCTACTGGCTTTAATCAGTCTACAAGCATGTAACAAAATCCAGATGCTCAAAATGATTTCTGTATAATTTAAAAACACAAACTGACCATCTGAAAGAGTTTTTGATCAGGGTATAAAAAAAAGAACCACCACAAGGCAGAAACTGACATGAACACTGAGCGTCCAGGAGCGTGATGTACTGGGACATCAGCACATCAATTCAGAGAACAGACCTTACACTTCACTCATGCAGGAACAACCCGAATCTTGTACATAATTGAATGTCAAAATACTCTGAATGATCTGAAATGTCACTCCTGACACGATCCCTTCATCACGGTCACTACAATGTGGCCATGTCAAGACAGTCCTCTTTAGGGACAAAAAGCTTAAGACACTAACGTTAAATTATAAAGGAGAAGAAAAAAATCATACCTTTTCTCTAAATGCAGACTACTGACAGTCTCAGAGAAAACCATACCAGCAATTCAAAACAATACAAGTCTGTCATGACTGATGATTTTACGACACTAAACACCAACAGCTTCTCTAAATGAAGATATTCCCACATGAAGACTGGCACTGTGTGAGAACAGACATGGAAAAACGGACAGACTGATATGTGAGTATCAGGGCCTGCTAAACACAGCTAGCCGCCAGGCTAACGCTAGTGAGTTGACTGCCAGATATGTTTATTATTTACTTTAAAGAACAAATCTGTAGTAAACAATCTGGAGTACAAACCCTGATTAACAAAATCCCCCAGACCTTTGACACAGAACCATGCGAGTCGATATGAGTGAAGTGTCAGGATTTGATCGGTTTGTTTATATCATGTAACTTAGAATGTGTGTTTCATCCCTCCGTCATTACGTTCAATCACTCGTTCACTCACTCGCGCACTCACTTGGCCTCGGACGCGTCCGCTGCGGGCTCATGTCGATGTTCAGGTCGATTCGTTTGCGGGCTTCTTTATTTTCCTGCTTGAGTTTCTCCTCGATTCGGGAGAGTCTCTGCTCCAGCGACATCTTGAAAACTTCAGCAGCACCATCGAGCGCCGCAACTCACTGCCCTCTAGCGGCGACCGAGGGAAACACAGCGCCTTCAGCCGCCCTCTAGCGACCGAGGATAAAAAGCAACATTCAGATCTGAAATACGCGCCAGAATTCAGCAATCATATGATTTGTCTACGTATCCAGTAGAATCTTCTTACTTCTCATTAATGTTTTTAAATGTATGCATTATTTTGATGTATTCTATAATACTGTTGTTATTATATTTATTACTGTTCCTGGCTCTTTTTCTGTCTTTTTTTTTTTAATTGATGTTTTAGGCCAGGGCTGTCCAAACTCGGTCCTGGAGGGCCGGTGTCCTGCAGAGTTTAGCTCCAACTTGTCTCAACACACCT